TGAGAGAGAAAATAAGAAAGAGGAAAAAAGATAAAAAAGAGAGATATGACAGAGACGAAGAAAAAATAAAAATGGGAAAAAATAAGAGAGAAAGAGAAAAGAGAAAAAAGTGAAAAGTAAAGAAAGAAAAAGAGAAAATTAGAAACAAAGAGAGCGAAAAGAGAGAGAGAGGAAGAAATGTGTATAGAAGAACAGTTGAGGTTCTCTTCGCTCTGTGTTTATTACTTATCATCATTAAATGATCAAAAAACACTGAAACACATCTGTGCTGTCAACTGACTGTGTGTCACAGTTACACACTTAAAATATTTGCAGGCATGAACACATACACACATACACACACACACAGCGCTGTACGCATGACGGCACACTTGCGTCAGATGTGCTGTAGCTGCACACGCCTGTGAACTCTGACAGAAACTCACTCAGATGGGAATCGATCATCTGCAGGAACACTGACAACACACACACACTCACTTTTTTCCATCTCACTGTTTCTCACACCTGCATATTTCACAGATAGGCAGGACATCTTCTTAAAGGGGAATTGCAGCCACTTTTCAAAATTTCTGCATAATTAAGTGGTTAAGATGTAAATACAGTCGTTCAGAGTGATTTGGTCTGAAGTGATTTGGTTCTAGAAAACGTACTGAGTCAGAATTGTTCACAGTGGTGGTAATAGGAACCAGATGTCCACCTCTAAAAGCTCCCTCACAGAAAGTTAGTACATGAAATGGTTATGAATACACTGCCTAATGTCTGAGACATTGTTGAGAAGATTTTGGTCTAAAATGTGTTTTTAGGTGCAGGAAGGAATGTGCAGAGCAAAATAGTCCCCAAAGAAAACTTGTTATTTTAGATTTTCCACTATTTTACCATCATCAACGTTCCATATAAAACTCAGACACGTGTAGGTTCACTGGTGGTTTTGTATAGTAAATAAAATGTCTGTATTTGTGTTGTAGTCATGGCAACCCCTGGTTCCTATCACCACCACTGTAAAGAAATCTGAGTCTCTACAACATAAAAACTTAATGACACAATGACAGTAACATATTTACGTAAAGAATTTACAATTTGTTATTTCATACTGACAATTATGTATTTACATAAAGACTTTACAATCAATATTACATACTGACAATTATGTCTTTACATAAAGATTTACAATAAGTAATTACGTAATGACATATTTACGTAGATTTCACAATTTATAATTACATGATGACAGTTTTATGTATTTACGTAAAGACTTTATGATTCGTAATTGCATAATGACTATTGCATATTTACGTAAGAGTTTATAATTCATAATTACATAATGACATTTGTATTTCCCTGAAGACTTTACTATTTGTAATTACTTAGATTTTAATTTTGTAATTTTGACATAGTAAGTGGGAAACAGGACCATATTAAGGCAGAATTACTTGGACTCACTTATGGCCACACAGCGTTGACCATATCCTGTCCTCGACCCTCAGTGTTCTGCATTACCGAGTTAATCACTGAGCTCAGGTCAGTATGAGGTCAAGATCTGCCTCTAATACCCCCTGTCATGCTCCAGTACAGAATGGCCTGTCATTTCCATAGTAGTGATCAGATGCTGTTTATGACAACATTAACACATACAGATCACCCACTGTACACTGATACACTGTCATCTTATGCTGTCATCATTCACACACTGACATGCACAACAATAAAACTACACACTCCTAATCACAGCGTGCTCTGACACTAATGTCTCCTGTGCCCTTCCCGAATTAAATCGCTTTAATTCAATAAATTATGGTTATTAAAAGGTTATAATTATGGATATTACTATGCAAATCACATAAAGCCAAGCAGTAGCATTCTTTTCATGTAAACAGTGCAGGACTGATCACATATCCTGAAATAAGCAAGGCCTTCCCAGAAAAAGAAGTTGTCTGGATGGCAGCATATGTTGCCAAAACATGTATATATATATATATATATATAATATATATATATATATATATATAGTTCAGCATTAATGGTGCCTTCGCAGATGTGCACGTCACCCATGCCATGTGCTCTAATGCACCCTTGTACCATCATGAATACTGGCTTTTGAACTGTGCACTGATAACAAGCTGAGTGGTCTTTAGCCCGGAGGACACAGTGTCCATGATTTCCAAACATGTTACTGGTATCAAATTCAAAATGGGCATATATTTTTCAAAAAACAATAACATTTCTCAGTTTCAACATTAGATATTTTACATATACTTTTTAACACAAATTCACAAAGTGCTTTACAGAGACATTAATAAATCAATCCAAGGTTGACGATACATTTCTGCGCTGCCAAGCCAATGATGGGAAAAGCTAGTGAGGCTGATGTTGTCGCTGTTGTAAAATCCAGATGAACCAATTCAAGTCCGAACAGTGTTTTGCATAAATAGCTGTGATTATGTCTGCCAGAAATTGGGACACATATCAGCGATTCAGACTTGAGACTAAAGACCTGAGAAAAACACAAAGAAAACTGATTGAATTCAGGCCTCCAACCATAATCCTCCAAACAAAACCTTTAGTTTCCGATCCCACCTGTCTTTGCATGTCAGTTTTCCTGCAGTTATGTGCAGTCTGTTGTTCTCCTGCAACTCACATGAACATCAGACTCGATACAGCTTCAAATAAAGGGCCTTTTATTACAGAAAAGTGTTTATTCTGATGAACAGATTGAAGCACTACACACAGGAAACACAAGGTTCAAAGCATGTAGCAGCAAGTATGTAGCAAGTATTCTAGCTACACACTTAAAAATTGATGATTCTTCAAGGGTTTAATAAAGACCATGGCTCTGGTTAGAACCATTTCATGTATAAATGGTTTTTAGCATGTTGAAATAGTTTTTCCGATTGATGGAGAATGTGTTGTATATGGTTCTACATAGCACCAAAAAGGGTTCTGCTATTGTTATGATGTCAAGCTTGTACACAATAGAAGAACCCTTTTTGGGGGCTATATTGAACCATTTTCAATACAGTTCTGTATAGAACCATATACAACACATTCTTCATCAACCTGAAGAATGATTTAAGCATGAAATTGGTCAATATGGAACTCATGGTTCTAAAGAGAACCATTGCCTTTACTAAAGAACCCTTGAAGAACCATCTTTTTTAAGCTAACTTTATGCTAACACTAGCTAATTTAGCTGAAGTTTTATAGATCATATTCCTTTAATCCGTCTGGAATCTTTTGCTGGGCTAGCAACTTAGCTAGCTAGCATACTTGCTATACAAACTACAGAGTAGCCAACTAGCCATTTCAGGTTGCCTCTTTCCTTTAAACACTGCATTTACTGTGTGTAGAGCTTCAAACTAAAGGCACTGCTGTAATGAAAGGCTCAGTATTGAACCTGATAAGCGTGTTGAACTTGACCGGTTTTTAGTGTTTACTTTTGTGCAGTGAAATGCCTGCAACTATAACAAGACTTAAAATTCTCTACTAAAAAGAGAAGTAAAGAGTCGCACAGTCGCTTTTATTTTTACTGCAGTCATTATTTCACTGCAGGAGCAGCACTTTTACTGGAGGACAGGTTTGGACACTCTGCACACCTCTGGTAATTTTATTCGGTTATTTTATCCTCTGTAATTGCCAGAGCATTGTGACTCATGGGTAATTGTCCATTACAAATTCAGTGAGCTGTAAATCCAAACACAGATCAGTATAAATAGATTTGTTTTTATTAAGACACATAGACTAGTAGGGTGTTATTTCTAAAGGACCCATATCATGGCAGACCAAATTTTGCTTTCTTTCTTTCTTTGAGTTTGATACAGTATGTGAACAAATTTCTAGACCATACAGTCCATATGTGAAGACTAAGCTGAAAAAACAGCCCAATTTGAATATATTACATTTGTAATGTCACAAAAACCAATATATTTGTATCTATCCACCTATTCAGCCAACAGCAGTTTAGTCCCACTCACTCACAATGAAGTTATAAAGAGTGTTTCGGCCTGGACTTCTTCTTAAATGAGGCAGCCAGTCAGAACAAAGCTCATTTACATATATTAGTCTTAAAGGTACAGTAACAAAAGAACTTGGTTAATACTAAGGATTAAGAGGTTGGAAAATGTTACGTAAAATCAGATTATGATATGAACATTAATGAATTGACACACAGACCCACTCAAACATTATGATCAATGTGTTAACCATCTTCTTATCTTATATATATTTGTTTTCTTGGAAACTTTTACACAAAGATATGTTCTATTTGCACAAACTGTGTTATTTTGGCCTAAATGCATTAAAACAAGCTGAAGAATATAGAAGGCAAATAAACTCACATGTACTTTAAATTAGTAAGCAATATTATTTTATATTTATTTTATATGTAATATAATATTATTAAGTTTTAACAAGTCAAACATTAAGTCTGATGCTTTAACACAAACTATATATGTTAAAATAGTGGTAACACAAACAAAAACATGTTAATTAACACATTGTTTATGAAAGTGAAAGTTTCCATTACATTTTCAGCTCTTATTCTGCACACTGAGTACCAAACCAAACAAACACAAAACTTCTATCACAGCAGGGAAGAGTTATGAATGCATTTTAATTTTTTTTATTTTTATTACAGCTGTATGAGTGAGTTATGGCTGCAGTGGGACTGAAAAGCAATTAAGCTAAAATAAGTAATGAGAGGCATGTGAGCGCACAGGTTCGGGGGGCGTCATTGAGGACACTCTGTGCCTCCATTAGAGTTTGTGCATCTAAACGTTTGTATGTGAGGTTACCCTTTGATTAATGCAAATTATTAAATCTGTATATATTTGCATATATTGTGGAATATGGCTCCCAGAGAGAAAATATTACAGCATGTGTGCAGACAGAAAGTGCTTCTTGTATCATCAGCTCAGTAGTTATGGCCTGTTCAGTTAGCAGGCTGTGCTGGCAACTCTCACCTGCTCTTCCAGAGTTTCTTTTGAAATGAAGGGTGTTAGTAGTGAGTTTGTCCTCCTTTGCTGCAGTAACAGCCTCTACTCTTCTGTGAAGGCCCTACAACAGATGTTGAACATTGCTGTGAGGATTTGGTTGAGTGTTAATGAGGTCAGATACTGATGTTGATATGGTCAGTTCTGGATCACTCCAACTCATCCCAAAGGTACTGGATGGAGCTCCTTCACTCCGTGAAAGCAGTACTATGTAAGATTTTTTTGTTAAAACCAAAAGAAGTAGCGTTACTGAGTAATTTAACCCTTTGGCGCTGATGAACACACTGGCATGTCGAATTAGATGTTTCTCTGTGTTTCTATTAATATTTTTGCAATAATACAGTGCAGACATACAGTCAGTTACTGAACTTGTAGAGTCGCTCTTTCCATTCCAACCTATCACGGTATCGTACACGTTTATCTACTATTTTATTCATACATTCCACTACTTTTGTGAACCTTAGACTTTGGTAAACCCATTTCAAGCACCAAAGCAATTCGTCCACATGTGTAAAGCTATGTTTTCAGAAGAGATATTAAGAATTTCTAAAACCGGACTTCAATTTTTCAGCTCTAGGGCTGAATTATCCATTTACCCAGTGTTCTGGGTCAAAATGACCTCATTAAAGAGAGAGCTGAGATTGTTTTTAACATTTTCATATATAAAATGTGAATATCATTTAATATCCAAGAGGTTTTAAAGGCAAATTTGAAAATACAGGCAAAAATCAAGAGAATGCCCTCAGACCCCAGAGGGTTACAAGTCAGAGGTGTTGAGTTTTTCAGACCACGTCATACATCTTTATGTATTAGCGTCACATGCACAGGCTCAAAAAGAAGGTCCAGCTGGACGTTTAGGTCACAAACGGAAAATCAACATAATACTAAAGAAGATATGATGACAACAGTAGATAATTCACTCACATCCTCAGAAGACGCCTCCTTCACCAAGTTTTGCCTGAGTTCTCTGTGAATACTCCTTGAACTCATTCTCAGTCATCAGATTTATCCACTCGTGGGGGTCTGAAACACAACTGATGATGCAAAATGTTCCTCCACACATTGCATGCAATGACACATTTCCACCAAATCCCCAAATGTTACATAGTGCTGCTTTAATTGAAAACAGACTATTTTTGTAGCTTAGTTTCTGTATTTGGATTAAGAGAAGCGAACAGTATGTTTTAAAACTCTTAGCAATGTTTACATACTACATCAGACTGTTTTATTATTTTAAAAAAAATTGCAAATTCAGTTTTCTGTGAAATGGGCCCATTAACTTGGATGAGGCTGGCTTTACATGGTGAAATTTTCATGCAACTTTAGTTGCTTGAAACCTACATGAAACTAAACTGCACTTGAGTCTTGAGTTTCATAATGTAAAGCATCCTAGAACTCCTTTAAAACTCAGCCACAACAGTTGCAAGCATCTCAACTTTGTGGAACAGGTTTCATGACAGTTAATCAAAATGCAGATAACAATCACATTGAATGACACACTTTCAAGCCGTTAATTTGACCAAATCAATGAACAAGACAATAAAGCAGAAGAGTTTTGGGCAGTCGAAAAGGAGCCCCCCCCCCACCCTACTATGTCCACTGCACCACAGCTCATACCCTTCTAACCCACACTTGGCACTGAACATGGTGACCTTAGGCTCATGTTTGGCTGCGCCAGAGCGTCCGATTCTATTGGTCAATGCTCTTTTATGGCTCAGTGTGAAATTGAATGTCTGTGTCAGCAATGTGTGCACCTTAAAGTAGCTGAATTTACTCATTCCAAGAGCTGTCTGGATACTTCTGGACATACAGCATATCTTATTCCCGGATGTTCCTGAATTATTCCAGGTTGAGTGTGTGTGTAGGGGTGTGTGTACATCCTTGCATGGGTGTAATGTGCTGTAAACGTGTACAGCTCAGCAGAAAGCAGTAGAGCCTACAGTCATATCCATTACATAAGAGTCTAGTGCTGCATATAGACAATATAGAGGCTCAGCTCTATCTATAACTCTGTATCCAAACAGCTTCAGCTCACTCACTTCCACTAGCTGTAATCTGAGCTGGTCAATATTAGTGTTTAAGGGCCATTACCTGCATTTTTCATTACTTTTATTCATCATTTGGTCCGCTTATGACATTTGTGTGGTTTTATGTACCAAAAACAGTCATAATTAATTTTTACATGACCTCTCCTTATTCCACCATGAGGCATCTATTGAAGATGGATGATGAAGTCAGGTACGTAGAAATTTTTGATGCAGCACAAATTGGCAGAGGTGTGACATCAATGCAGGATGGCAAAGGATAAACGCGAAGTCAAATAAGGGAAAGCACTCTGATAAACTACAAATATACTAAATATAAAGTGAATTTTAAGTATGTACATTTAACCTACCTTTTATTTCCGCTTCATATGAGTTCAAAACACCAGTAGATTAGGCCCAAACGGATACCAGATAGCTAATAAACTTCAACAACCATTTCACAACCTCAGTGTTCTGTTTATCTTTCACATAGACCATATAAATGCTCCTCGGAGAAAACTACCACCCCACTTGCACTTGAAAGCAGCATCATATATGTAAATGAGCGGCTGTTCTGTGTTGCACCTCGTTCAACAGCAGTCCGGCCTGAAACATTCCTTATAACTTCAGCATGAATGGGTGGAGCTAAACTGCCCTAGGCAGACATGTACATGTGTTTGGAAATTTTAAGTGTTTACATAATACATCAAACTCTTTTATTTAAAAACAATTAGGAAGATTCAGCTTTTTATGATACGGGCTCTTTAAAGGATGCTATCTACACTGTATCTAGCTGTGTAAACAGACCTACACCTCCTATTTTCATATATACTGTGTATTTTTATGGTGAGAAATGGAGATTTATGTGTGTTAGATTCAATTTGTTTCTTGCCTGTATGTGATATTACAGTGAAATGAAGTGAGATTTAGATAGTTATTTGTACATATAGCATGTTTCTTGAGTATATTAAGTTAAGTTTATTTTTACTGTAGCATGGGTATTTGTTGCTTCTTGTACATATTTGATATGGATTATGTATTTCGCTTCTGTTTTTGACTGGAAAGAAGTACAATCGGATAATAAACCTTCTATCTATCTATCTATCTATCTATCTATCTATCTGTCTGTCTGTCTGTCTGTCTGTGAACCTACACATCTCTTCTGAGTTTTATATGGAACGTTGATGACAGTAAAATAGTGGTGAATATAAATTTTCTCAGGGGTCTATTTTGCCTCATAGCACCCTTTCTGTGTCCTTTCACTATGAATGGATTAAAATATGTTTTAGACCAAAAATCTTACCACAAAACTACTGTCTCATCAGATAGTGACATCAGGCAGTGTATTCACTACCATTTCATGTAGTAACTTTCTGTGAGATAGCTTTTAGAGGTGGACGTCTGGTTCCTATCACCACCACTGTGAACAATCCTGACTCCGTAAGTTTCTCTAGAACAGAGCATTTCACACCAAATCACTCTGAATTAATTTGTTTACATACTAACCATTTAATTATGCAAAAAATTTGAAATATCAGTGGAATTTCCATTTAACGGATTGAGTACATTTAAAAAGCTAATATTTACCCGCTTTGGTTCGTCCATTATAATTCAGAGCATTGTGAACCGTGACTGATTATGCATTATTGCAATATTTTTAGACAAATTTGGCCTCCGGCTGATCATGACTAATTATTAATTTCTTAATTTACTCCTTCATCAACTCATTTAATCATTCACTCACTCATAAAGCCCCAAGGAGGCTGAAACTGCCTTCTTATTTGCCAGCTTCTTTTTCCAAATGTTCCGTTCCACCTTAAAATACAGGCGCCAGGTGCATCATTTAAGGTGGAATGGGAAACTCGAAAAATAACCTGGCGAATACGAAGCCACCTTCAGCTTCGTCGGAGGGAACAGCAGCCACTAGCGTTTTATTTTTCCAGCTAAAATATCTTCAGTTATGTTCAAGGAACGTTGAAAGGTAATAAACCCCTGTACACATATATAAATTACCTTTATTACGTTAGAGTATCAAGTAATGAACGTTAAACAACTGAAAGTGTTAAAAAACCCGGTAGCCGGTCAGTTTGTTTTTAGCGTTAGCAGGCCTAGACCGCGACACCGGTTTTTCCTGATGAACTATACCGGCCCAAACGCATCATGTAGCGGCCGCACTGCTGCTCATCCACCAACTTTAAATGTTTATTGAACTAAGTTTGTGTCTTACACAATAGTTAGTTAGCTAGCTTAGCTGATGAGACCTGTAAGCTAACAAGCTTTCTAACTAAGTTATAGCTTAAGTACTACTTTTTAACCGCTGTAAACATTTCGCTCAGATATGTAACTAGCGTTAGCTAGCGATACTTCAGTGTACACTTGAAAAACACAGTGTACACTCAAGAAACATTTGAAAACTTGGCGTTTAACTAACTAGTTGATCTGTCATTGTTTTCAATAAATTTAAATTAATACGTAAATTACTGGCTTTATCACCTGTCCTTGAAGCACTTTGAGCTGCCACCGGTATGAAAAGTACACTATAAATAGAGATATTATTATTGTTGTTGTTGTTGTTACTGTCACCACTACAGTGGGCAAATGAGCAAATTGAACTATACAGGCAGCTTTTTGGTAGCCTAAGACTTTGCTGCTCTGACACTTTAAAGGGCCTCCTACATTGGTCCACTTACAATGGTTGTTTGATTTTGTGTACTTAAAAAGGTAAATCAGTCTTATACAACCATTTCCCAGTCCCTTACAATGAAACAGGCAGTTTTTTACAGTGCTTTTTAGATTGATCTGTGTAAATATGCTATGTTTATTGGGTTGTTCTGTATTGTGCCTCACTCAAAAAAGTCCAGGCTGAAACACTCTGTATAATGCTTCCTTCAAGGCACCCTTGGAATTTCATACTTATGACTTTGGAGGTCTTAAGTACGACTTGATTTGTGTTCAAGTGGTTTTGGTTGGAAATAAGGTAATGTAAATGTAAAGTAATGTTTCTGGTTTATTTTTGTTGTTCTGTCATTAAAGAGAGTCTGTTTGCGTTACTGCAACAAAGTGAAGAGCAGAGGATGCTTATGAGAAGAATAATGTTGTTATGTAGTTAGATATATCACATAACATGCTTATATCTGTATTTCCATGTGTGGATGGTTTTAGCCTGCAGTGTTAAGGGTGTGTATAACTGAAATACAGCCAGTTTATCAGCGGCCATCAATGCTTTTTTGTTGATACATCCCCAGCTTGGGGCTCATTAATTTCCCACTAGTATATACAGTGTTGTGGTGGCGTTCATGTGCATTCATCTCATAAATCTGATGTTTCCGACAGGGCTAGAAGGCAGCATAACTTCGGTGTGAGTGGGCGGAACTAAATTGTGGTAGGTTGAACAGGCCTGGTTTTCGTAACATCACAAAAACAATTGAAGGCTGTTTTTGCAGTCTTTAACTGTAGGGGAACTTTGTTTTCCACAATATGGGCCCTTTATCTAGCTTGGATCAAGCTTAGGCTCTGCACAAAAATGATTTCTTACATTAAACAAAGCAAAGATGTTGAAGATTGTTATTTTGATCGTATTCTGCTTTTGGGGATTGTAGAATGCATTAATAAGCTAATTTTAAAAAAGTATGTTGGAAATGCAACAACAGCCTCAGCAGATAATAAGGACCGTTAAAATATAGTTTCCTTTCTTCCCACTGCAGGTTTGGAGGATGAGCAAGAGCCGTGGCACGAAAAAGAAGTTGCCCCCAGACAAGGTGGATACCACAGAGTTTTTCGACGAGGTGGTTGTGGAAGAGGTCAAGCAGCTCTTCAGCAAAGTGAGAATGTACAGTCCTCCACCTGGAGCAGAATGGAGCCTGCCTGATCCCAGTGTGGTGCTTCGTGACCAACCGTCGTGTCATCCACGCCTACAGGCGCTGAAGCAATCCCTAAACGAGGTAAAGAATCAACTCAGTGATAAAGATTTGGCCGTATGGCATCAGCACACCTGTTCCACCAATCGAGCAGGCACCGTTACGGCCCACCTCCGAGCCGTCGCCAATGCAGAACTTTGCACTCAGGCTTGGGCAAAATTCTATGAAATACTGGGCGCCTTCGACCTACTGCCAGACACGGCGCTGCAGATCGGTGAGTTGAACTCCATCCACCTGTGTGAGGCTCCTGGAGCATTTGTCTCGGCCCTGAATCACTTCCTCCAGACCAGCGGGCTGCACTGCGACTGGAACTGGGTTGCCAACACGCTAAATCCATATAATGAAGCCAACGGGAGGAGCTGCACTATTGCAGATGACAGACTCATTGCCCACACCCTGCCTTGGTGGTTTTTCGGCTCCGACGACACAGGTGACATCATGCTGCAGAAACATCTGCTGGAGTTGCAAGGATTTGTTAGCAATATGCGCAGCGTGGACTTGGTCACTGCGGACGGCAGCTTTGATTGTCAGGGCGATCCAGGTGAGCAGGAGAGTTTGGTGGCCCCGTTGCAATATTGTGAAACTGTTAGTGCTCTACTGCTGTTAGGACCTGGAGGCTCGTTCGTCCTGAAGATGTTTACGCTGTTTGAGCATTCGTCTGTTTGTCTCCTCTACCTTCTGGTCTGCTGCTTTTGCTCTGTGCACATTTTCAAACCTGGCACCAGCAAGTCAGGAAATTCTGAGGTCTACATTGTGTGTTTGGGCTATAAGGCTAAAGATGTCATGCGCCCGCTGCTGTCAAAGCTGATCCGTAACTACAGTCCGGATATGGCATCCACGGCAGCTCTGTTTCCAAACAGCTGCATTCCGGATTCTTTTCTCAGGCAGCATGAGGAGATCTGCACATTTTTCCATTCCCTGCAAGTCAACACCATCCAGGAGAACCTGCAGCTCTTTGCCAGCATGAATGCCAAGCAGCGCGGGCGGCTGGACCAGCTCAGGGAATGCGCTGCACGTTTCTATGTCCAGCGATTTCAGGTGAGGATGGGAAGTCTGAGGGTAAATTTCTTTAAGGTTTTAGAAGTACTTCAGCACATCTAGAACGACTGCATGTGACCATAAGAACAGATATATAGTAGAGGTATAGTAGAGTTGCGATAGTGCTGTAAACAACATTTAGAATGGTTTCATCTCTGCTGTATCTATTTATCAGTGACTGTGGTGCTGTCAGTTAAAATTAAGTGAAGTTGACTCCAGAAGATCCAAAGTTGAGCATAATTATGTTGGGCTCCCAAGATAAGCTGTGCTCTTGCGCCCTCATATGATTCAAAAATGGGTAATCAAAAACCTGCATATTTAAATATCCGTTGTTTATCAAAAATTAAACACGCCTTTTAACCAAATACATTAATCAAACATTATGTATTTGTTGATTAATGGTTAATCAGTTAATCATTAACATCCCCAGCACCGGCAGAAAGATCTGTCACTCGCTCTTTTAGAAAGTGTCAAGTCTGGTGCTGCTGTTTATTGTTTGTTTTAAAGTAGTATCATCCATAAAAAAGTATCTCAGAAATTACAACTCCGTTGGAGAAGGCAAAAACGTTCTTTACCCTCAAGTTAATATAATGAGGCTTTGTTCCAAGCAGTTTTGGAGCATTTATTTTGACATTCATCATGAGATTTTCACAAAATTGTTATATTGGAAAAGAAAAGAAAGATAATAAAAAATGGGGGGAAAAAAACTGAAAACATTCGTTTTGTTTAGTTTTGAACAGTGACAAAATGATAAATTAGAAACAAAGCCTTTTTAAAATGCTCTTCTGCTGGTACATTTGGCATTTTTCAAACTTTCTCACAAATTTTTTCAGAAAAAAACAAATTATGTCTTTAGTGTATATATATTTTTAAAGTATAATGATGTTTTCAAGTATGGTAAAGTTATATTTTCTGCCACATTAGGTGCAGTTCCTTCCAAGGAAACGCTGGGTGTGCCGAGGTGGCTCGATGAACTGGGGAAAGCCATGCCAGAGGAAGCAGATGGGGTCTTTCAATCAGCGTAAGGAGATGCAGTTCCTGCAGTGGAGGCAGCGCCTTGCCCAAGGACCCTACTGGACGTGGGTAGAGGAGCATTGCCGAGGCACTGAAGGTCATGAGTTTGTCTTAAATGGCCCGTTAATGGAGAGTGATTTAGATGCATGGTTCACACGTGTGGGAGCTGCTCTTCCAAAAGTGTGCAGCTCCACTTTCTGTGAGCAGGACTTGTTGGATCTTCTCAATGAAGCTCTAGAAGAGCATGCTATTAGCTCAGATGGACGAACATTGGCCAAAACCACACCAGCATGCAGTGCCTGCAGTTTTCAGTCTCCTGCGTCCATATTAACTGAGGTCTGCAACTTTCCGAATGTTATTTCTTGTTTGGTGGTGGGAAACCCTTCATGGCAGAAGATGCCTCTTTCAGGGAACATTCTACAGCCACAGTTTTGTCCAGGACCTTGCTACCCAGAGGTGTTTGTTTCCACTCTATATGACGGACATCCAGATCTTCAGCGGATGCTTCTGAGCAGTGTGCTTTCAGCTTTGCGTGGACTTGGTGAAGGATCAGCATTGGTGGTTCCATTGTGTTCAGCTTTGACCCGTTTCACTGCGTCTTTGATCCTCACTCTTCACCTGTGTTTCCACTCCATTAGCTTCCGCTGCCCGTCTGCTGGACCTCCTGCAGTGCTTCTGTGTACTGGTTTCTCCAACTTTCCCAAGGCTATCACCATCCTCCAAGAGGTTTTGGGTGAAATGACAAGGCTAGAGCAGGGCAGGCAGCTTCTACAGATTGCACCAATTGAGGAACTGACTAGAGGAGCACTGCCTCACTTTCTGACCGGCCTCAATAACACTATCATGAGGCAGCAGCTCCATATACTAATGCAGAATGGACAGGGCAGATAGCATCGTCCATCTGAGCCACTCGTGTTCAGTACCAGTTTTTTGAAGGGCTACAGAATATATCATGTATTTATTTATTTTTTTTATTCTGCGTAATTAGAAGGTTAAGATGTGAACAGAGTCATTGAGTGTTTTTTGAATTTAAACACAGTTTAACAGTTTAAGTAGTCTGTACTTTGTAGAATTTTATTTTCAAACATTATACATTCCCTCACGGGAAGTTATTACGTGAAATGGTTATGAATACACTGCCTAATGTCTGAGACATTGTTTTATGGTAGTTTTGAAAAGGTTTGGGCCTAAAATGTATTTTTTTAAATCTATGCGTTCATGGCAGAGGTGTAGTAAGGTAGAATAAAATATTTTTATTAGGGCTGGCCAGTATGACAATATATATAATTATTCTGATAAATTGTGATAATCCAATTCAATATACTTTGCTGAACATATTGTGGATATCGTCAGTACTTGTAGAAACTGACCAACTGGATGTTTCATTATAAAGAGAGCAAAATTAGTCTCATTTAAGTGGATTTAGTGCCAAATATTGAATAAGTTCACAGCTTTTAATAGTAGTTCTTGTAAATGTGACACTACTGGCTCTTTTTTTCTCTGTTCCAACTGGTCAGACTTCTGAAAAATTGAATATTGTGACATACTGTGTATTGTGAAAATTTCTTGGGAGTATCGCAATATTATGTTTTTGTTATATCGCCCACTCATAATTTCTACCAAAAAAAAACTTTTTTTTTCTGGTTTTGGCTCTATATGTGTTAGAGATATTGCGACCCCTGGTTCCTGTCACTCCACTGTAAAGAAATGAGTTGATATGTTTCACTGTAGTAAACCATTTCACATCAAACCACTCTGAATGACTTTGTTTACATCTCAGCAATATGATTATGCAGTAATTTTTAAAGAAAATCAGTAGATTTTTCTCCCTTAATCCCCTTTAATCACTAACACAACTTAAGCTTTTACAATAGTGATACTGCAAAATGCTGCAATATGCAAATGAGCCCTCTCAGGAGTGATACGAGTGGAATTCCATAACTTACAACTTACAATATATTATGTATTAGAAATGCACTAGTGAATCTTTAATTGGCCTGCTTTGTTTTTGACTTAAATGTTTTATATTCTTTGGATTCCTGGATTCATCAAAACATCCAGGATGCTCATAGCACGTAAAACAGAGGCTGATTAGAGACTCATTTGCTTATTGCAGTGTCCTGCAGTGTCAGCATAGCAAAGGCCAGTATTGGTTAACAAATATAGATATATTGTGCAAGCCTAGCCATGACCAAACTTTACAAATGAGATTGTGGTTTCTGTTTTCAGTAATCAGGGCATTCACGTGATTGAACAGATGTAAATAAGACTGATCGGGCTCCATGCGACATCAGACGTTCACCGATATTTCTAATGTATTGCAGTATATAGCAATACAGTTGCAGTGTATTTAGTCTGTCATGCAGCCCTAGCACCATTCTATTGTTTCTTCGCTCTAACTCGCCTGCCTTGTCTCAGGAAGGGCTTACTAATTACCTGATATGTTGAATCAGGTGTGCTAGAGCAGGAGACTTACTAGGATTGGGGTTGGGAATGCTAATCTAAAGGAGGGACGCGAGGGGGTCCACACTAGGGCTGAGCAATATAACAAAATTGATCACTATCATGATAAATTGCATCATATTGTACTTTTCTGTAGATATCAGCGGCACAGAAACACTGCCAAACTGCATGACTGATTACAAAGAGAGCAGAATTAGCTCTGTTTATGTGCAGCTCAGTGTTTGTTATTGCCATATGACCCACATCTAGTTCACACTGCATTTTTCTAAAGGCACAAAAAAGCAAAGCGTGCCGCGCCCCTTTTTTTCTTGGAGGTTCACAGTACTGTGCTTTTTAAAGGCTGCGTTGGGCTGCACGTCTCCCTGTTGCAGTAGGGAGCGATAGCTAATCGGCTAGCTGAAAATAGCCAAACCTCTGACTTGCTAACTACAGGTAACATAATTTAAAAAAAGCAAAAAGCATTCTTGAAATGTAAAGCGCTGTACTGCTAAGGCCCCATCTGTGCTAGCAAGCTAGCATTTCAATTTGTAAATGCAAAATGTGCTGTTGTTAATGAGCAATCATGGTGCTATAATCAGTAACAAGCTAACTAAAAATTGCTATTTATATACGTCATGATTTAGATGCATGAAGGACTGCCGTCACAAATATTACCTCCTATATTACAACTGTAAAGGCCAGGTTTGCCTACAATCTGACTGGTCAGCACAGAAAAATTTGTGCACAGCACATAACACTGGATATAGCTGCAAAAATGTGTCCAGTGTGAACCCCCTCTCATTTTCCTTATTTAGCTGAGCTAACAGTAGTTTGCCTCCTCAGACTGTTTTACTTTAACTTAGGGGTTTTGTTGTACTTTTACCTTTGCTCTAAATGACAGGAGGCATTTTTCTGTTCGATTAACACAGATCAGCAGAGTAAATTCTGTATTCTTTTACTGTTTTAGAATTATTTAAATGTGGTTTGTATATGTTTTGAAATAACGATTTATTTACTAAATTATTGTCTCTATTGTCTCTACTGTCTGTATTAAAGGCTTTTTCTTTACTGGGCAGTTATGTGGACTGTGGTTATATCTGTGTAAAACATTGCTGGTGGGAAGGCTGAATGTATATAAAATTGACATATAAACAGTTGTGTTAGTAAAAAATGCTAATGAGCACAAGTAGATTGTGAATGGAGGTCCAGTCTGTCTCTCTCTCTCTCTCTCTCTCTCTCTCTCTCTCTCTCTCTCTCTCTCTCTCTCTATATATATATATATATATATATATATATATATATATATAAAATGTATATATATATGTGTGTACTGTAAAAAGAGCAGAGGAAGGGAAATAATTGAAAGAGCGTGAAAGCGAACGTGGAAGAAATAATGCATTAGCTTACATCAGCTCTGAAAGATGCTTCACTTAATGCTCATATATAAGCCAATACACAGCACTTACACACACACTGCTGCACACGAATAGCGATACACTGCTGCTCCTTTGTGAGTGCTTTGTGAACATGCATGTTTAATGCTTGGCTTCTTTAGTTAAGTTCAATGCTGCTGTGGTCTTGTTCTGTTTCTGCAGCGGTTCCAGTTCTAAAGACCAAGCCAAGCTTGTAAAAGTGGGTACATGATGTTTTTTTCTTAAAGAAAAAGTTTGCCTAACCATCTAATTGATAGCATTTTCACCCCAAATGTAGTCGTTTGGCCAAGACCTGCTTGATGTCTGAAGTTTGCTTCTTTAGCTTTATGCTGGAGCTACGAGGCTAATGAAGCTAACAATCAATGAAAGCTTATGTACTTCTGTTAGCATGGTGCTAACTGCAGGCCTAAATTATCACCCACTCGCCTCATGTGCGTGGAGATGTTCAGTATCTCTAATGGACTTGATTGTGATTTTTGATTCTTTATCAGAACAGGCAAATTAGCTGATTAGCTACTTTGCTTCCTTGCTGTCGATGCACCTAGCTCCCAACTGATAACAAACATCAAATAAACGTTACTCACTGCCGCTCTCTAAAGGCGTCATTAACAAACATAAAATAAATAAATGTTACTCATTGCTTATTATTTGCAATCTGGAGGTTATGTAATCCCTGTAACCGGCCTACAGGCATGTTTTTAGGTTTTTTGTGTTGAGAGATGTCTGGTTTAACAAGTCTGGCTAAACTATCCAGTTGCTGTGTATATGTCTGTCCGACCAGTTCTTATGCGTATGTTTACCACAAGCTCTGCATGCACTGGATGCGCACAACTGCACGTATTGGATGTCTTTGCTGAATTGCTCCATACGTCTAAACTGCAGCAGTTACCAATTGATTATCCTATTGATTTTCTAACTCCCTATATGGTTCGCTACCCTGATCATGGAATAGCCTCTGCACTACACAGTCATTGCGTCCCCCCCCTAGCTCCACCTTGCTGGTGTACAGTTAGAGTGATTAGTAAGTGGAAGAGGAAGGTGGGTGGTTCTGATATAGTGGCCAGCGAGTGGAAATATAAAATAGGTGTTTCTAATAAAGTGACCAGTGAGTGGAAGAACAAGGTGGGTGTTTCTAATTAAGTGGCCAGCGAGTGGAAAAACAATGTTGATGTTTCCAATAAAGTGGCCAGTAAGTGGAAAAACAAAGGTGTTTCTAATAAAGTGGCCAGTGAATGGAAGAACAAGGTGGGTGTTTCTAATTAAGAGGCCAATGAGTAAAATGTTCAAGATGGAGACATTTTTAAGCAACATTTGAAGAACTTTTGAACCCCTGTTATATGAATGTTATGATTAAAACAGTGTAAAATGTTAGCTAATTCATCTCCTACAGCTTCAGACGAACTTTGTTTTGCCGAGATCTTGAAGAACGTTCCTTTGATACATCCTCTTTCTCAAGAAAACTTTGTCGTCTACCTCATTAAACACCATGGCAGCTGTTGAGCGCAGGTAGGGCACAGAGAAAACATCGTCTGCTGATTTACAGCCTGCAGGCTGAGCCCTGTCTCGTATTTCACTTACACTTTTCAGCTCGCTGCACTTTTAAACTGTTATATAGCCACGTTCTATCAAATGTGCTCGAAGTGGGTAAATAGACATGTTTACTGCTTAGACTGGATGTCACTCTTCTGACCTGAAAACTGAAAGACATTTGATGGCCTTCACTGAAAATTACCTTGCAACAAAAGTTCTGGGACAAATTGGCTGAGTCTCAAATGGCTCCCTGCTCCCTGTATAGTGTACTACACAGGCCATGTACACCCACATAGTGCCTTTTATTCCAAACTATTGCAGTTTATGCTGAATATAAATGCACTATGTGGGTTTAGGCCATTATTTTATGACCTACGTAGTGCACCACACAGGAAGTAGGGAGCTATTCCAAAATCAGCTCTTCCATTAAAATTTTAATTGTTTCACTGTTGCTTTTCAATTAACTGAGAAAAAAATCACCGCAAAAACTGTATCTTTTTAAAGAGTGTATATTTATCTTCTGCCCTAAATAATGATTTGACAATTTTTATTTTCCAAAATGTTGTTAAAAGCTCACATTAAAGCTCTTGTGGCCCAATGGTGGTTTAAACACCTAAAAGGTTTAAGAAACACATTATCATAATCGTAAACACAGCTGACTGACTGAGCATGGAGAGTTGACAGTGAGGAACCGAAAGCTTGTTTAAGATAACAAAATGTCAAAAGATAAAAGATAATGACAATATATAATAACTTTATTTACCTAATTCTAGGCACAAAAATGTATATTGTATATTGGGGAATATACAATGTATATTGGGGAAAATAAGGCCACAATTTATGTTAGATTCAGCCAATAAACAGACCCAGGAAACCTAAATCTGTTTTTTCTCTAATGAGGTTAATCTTGTTCTTGCAGGCAAATAGTAAACATGTACTTAATTTACCCTTTAAATAAAGTTCCACTGACCAATAAGTGACCGATATACTTCACCATATTTCTGTCCTCTCGATGTAAGCTGGGCAGTTCTAATCTTGGGTAACTCTTCCGTAATCATACCCCTGACCAATCACAAGGCTGCATCTCTGGCCCCACACAGAACAGATTTACAGTCAGAGAAACTTAGTGAGCTAAAGCTAACCCAGCATAACCAAAAGCTAGCAAGCTAGACCACCTGTCTGTAGCTGCCTGTCGCCCGTTCACTTATTTATCCAGCACCATCATCGTTTGCTTGTCCGTTCCTACATTCATACGTTCTTTCATCCATCCGTCTGCACGTCTGGTCATCTTTTTGTCCTGTTAGCGTCACAAACGCTGGATAATGATGTTAGTTCTGTATGAGGGGGTGGAACAAGCTAGAAGTGTTGAACAGAGAGCTGTCAATTAAGCTGCTCTTTAGCCACGCCCACACAGTTTTCAGATAGGTCTGATCAGTGCGTGTTTTATCATATTTATATCTTATATTTTTCATTTAAGCTTTGCTGGATGTTTAATGTAACACTCAAGTTTAGTATCATACAGACATTTTTAGTATTTTACTGTGTTTTCTGGGACTTTAAAATGTGCAGAAGTGTTTTCTCTGAGGATGCGTTAACTTATCTTCACTTAGAAAATCAACAACCCTTGGAATTTCAACATAAAGTTAGGACAGTAATTAGGAGGTTTAGTCTAGTTAGGATGTTTGTGTGATACTGTTTTCTTATCTGGAGTTAATGATAAGGTTATGAAGTTAGGAACTGTTATTCTGTAATAGCTATTGTCCTAAATTCAGTCCTAACTGAAGCTGAAGTTCTGTAAAGCGCTCCTGATAGTCCAGTGTAGGGAGCAGTGATAAGGGGACCATTTTAAACACAGTGTGTGCGTATGTATGTGGTGTTTCCAGTGCGTGTGTTTGCCCTGGTAGGAGTGGAAATTATGCTGATCACTGATGCAGTGGGGGTCTAAGGTAGGTGTTTCGAATAATACGGCCAGTGAGTGAAAGCACAAGGCGCGTATTCCTAATAAAGTGTCCAGTGAGTGGAAGCACAAGGCAAGTGTTTCTAATAAAGTGGCCAGTTAGTGGAAGCACAAGGTAGGTGTTTCTAATAAAGTGGCCAGTGAGTGGAAGCATGAAGCAAGTGTTTCTAATAAAGTGGCCAGTTAGTGGAGGCATGAGGTAGGTGTTTCTAATCAGGTGGCCAGTGAGTGGAAGCACAAGCAAATACAAACAAATAAACAGTCCACTCTGTTTGGTTTGTGTGTTGGTGTAACCTTTTCCAAAGCTCTCCTGGATGTCCAGTGTTTACTGTTATCACCCAAGACCTATTTTATCTAATCAATCCTTTATTAAATTAAATCAGGTGCTGCAGATGGAATTGAGCAAATTCATGCCATGAAGATGATGGAGGCTGGAGTGCAGCAGGGCATCAGGAACCAAATCTGTATTCTTTTAACTGTGTTCTTCTAAACTACATATTCATAACTTCACTGACAAACAACACATTCTTCTTATGTTTAACTGTAACTGTGTTTATTTTTATTTCTTGCAATATTTCTTTCTTTTTTATATTGTGTAATGTTACATGCTGTTACCCTTTATTAATCCCACAACGGGGAAATTCATTTTAAGTCATTTGTGCAGTGAAACCCACATACACACTAGTGAATGCACACATACGGTGGGCAGCCCTATCCTTGCTCAAGGGCACTTCAGTCATGTCCTGCCAGTTCAGGGGATCGAACCCGCAACCTTTTGGTCACATGGCTGGTTCCCTAACTTCCAGCCAACGACTTAACCTAACAACTTTCCTGGCGGCCTAAGACAATCTTTTTTCAGTGCTAACTTTTGCTCAGTGCTGTATATATTTTCTAATTTTTAAATTTTTTATTTAATATGTTTGTTTTGGATGTAATTTCATACATCATTCTGTATGTGTTTGTGTAGGTGTGGAGTGAGATCCCCCCGATGTTGGATGCGTATGACTCTCAGCTGAGGCTCACAGCTCTCTAAGTTGGAGAAACGTCAGGATGTTCCTCGCTTCTCCAGCACGCCTTGTACTGCATGGGGACGGGGCCATCCTGCAAGACTGTTGCAGAATGCAGAATGCTGAGGAACCTGGGAGCAAAACCATCAGTAAGCTCATTTCTGACTGTGCAGGGTCAAGTTCAAGTGAATGTAATTTAAACTTAATACAATTACAG